CCATTCACATTTATTTAAATGGAAAAGTGAACATCCTTTAAAACTACCCTGTTTTGATCCACAACATATTCATAAAGTTTTGGAATGACATGAGTGCTATAAGTAATTTACAAATGTGACCCTGGACCACAAATCCAGTCATAAGGGTCAATTTGAAATTGAGATTGAAATTGAGATTTATACATAAATAAATAGCTTGATTTATCATGGATTCCCTGGATTTACGGCTAGCAAAGCAACATGTAGATAAATTCGATTAGTGTTATTATTTTTCGAATAATAATTACAGATTGAATATTCGACTATTTGGTGTTAGTTCGTTAGAGTTTTCCCTCTTTTCTTTGCTTTCAAATGCCGTGCGTATTTTACTTTCACTTTCAAATTAGCGGTAATTGAATTGCTGCAATTCGGCGTCAAGCAATTTTTCGTTTGAGTTTTCCCAGATTTCTTGGCTTTCAAATAGCTTGAAAAAGCGCAGTGTGCGTTTTACTTTCACTTTCAAATTAGCGACAATTCAGCGTTGATTCAATTCAAGCAACAACAACGTCAAACTCAGAACTTTTACTAACAAAATGAATAAAATACACCATATATGCCTAATAAAATAACAAATTACTTAGGCTACACAAAGTTTAAATAGGTATATTTGACTTGAAATAAAGGTATATAAAACTGAAAATCAGCAAGCACTGTGGAACCAAATAAATAAGAAACACAGAACGTAGGCCTGGGCGATAAAACGGTATCAATATTTATCGACTGTACACCTTCTTCGATATCGATATAAAAAATGTTCGATATAGTGCACGATATAGGCACGTACTATGAGTGACGCAGACAGCACACACAAACACAAATACATGCTGAGTTGAGAGCTGTGCCTGCCTGTGATGAGGAGATTGTGAATAAAGAATGAATATTAGTCGAATTTAAAATAAACATTTGCATTTGAATGTTAGGTGTGCATCAGGGAGCGTCATCAGTGGCGCGCGAGATGCGGTGATGATGTGAGTGACGTTGTTTCATTTGAATGTTTTGTTAGTCTAGCCCACGAGATGCGCCGCTGCTGAGTTATGCATTCAAAATATTAGAGAAATATAGAAGCTCAATGCGGAGAAAATCTTGAATGGAACCAAGCCATTCACACAGAACGCATATTCAGTGCATTTTTAGATGGACAAATATGACTGCTGCTGCACTCGCGTCTCACACAAGAGATGTATAGAAAGCCATGCAAAGTTAAAACAGTTTAAACTTAGAAAACACGTCACAAATTTGTGGAGGTTTATTCCTTTTCACTGCGTCTCATGTTTTTAAATACAGTCTGTGTGAATGGCACTTCGACTCTTTGAATTAAGCAATGCATAAATACATGATGCTGTTTTGTTCATAATTGTTTATGCAATTTACAAAAGTATATTTGATTTTTATGAGTTAATTTAGACATAATGCATGTTTTTTTTTTATGGAGTTACTTGCTAAATGCGCTGCATTATTTTGCTTATTGCGCCCTCCTGTGGCTTCGGGAGACAATTAGACCTATACAATAACGACCTAGTTAATCTGCATATAAAACATTAGAAAAGTTGTTATAAAAAAAAGGTTATAAAAATGTCAATACTTATCGATACCGAACAATATGAAACATTATATCGTTGATAAATTTTTTTAGCAATATCGCCCAGCCCTAATAGAACGTTTATTAGCAAAACGAATAAGAAAGCTTGGAGGCACGGCATATACACCTTTATGTAAAATAAAATAAATAAAATACACAGTTTAAATAAAGTAATCAGAAAACACTGTTTGAAAAACACTGTTTAAAAAAACTTCCAGTCAATAGGCTTTTAAAAATCTAAAATATTGCCAAACAGGTGCCTTTGCATTTCCTTTCTAAACAATCTTCTGCCATCGTCTTGTCTTCCTCACCTCACTCTTGTCAGTCAGCTCGACTCACTCTCCTCACATGATAAATAAAATCTGACTCCTGCTCCGTGATGCACTGTTGTTCGCGCACGGTTCGGCACGAGCATTTAGCTCGTTGCATTGAGCTTTTAGTTTTTAAAAGCGTCTGTCCTCTAACTGAACTAGGCTAAATGATTTTTGTTACTATAAAAGAATCTAAACGACGGTGGGGAGCGGTGCTGCGGTAGGCAAATTGCGTAACCGTTTTTTTGCGGCTTAACGCCGGTATAACCGAAAACATGTCTATCGCAGCAAGCCTATCTGGGGGCAAACCTGTCATGGCAATGCAGGGACTGCATAGATCTTGTGAATCTTCTGGTAATCATTGGTTGCTAGGGATGCTCTGATCGATCGGCCGGAGATTGGTATCGGCCGATAATCACATTTTATGACTCGATCGATACTCACTACACTACACTTGGCCGATCTCACGAACCGATCACAATTTGATGACGTCAACGCGTGAGGACTTACATGATGCGTGGGGACATAAATGATTTGGCACCGCAGTTATATCATCGTCGGTGTGGAAATGTTATGACGTTTTGAGAAACAATAAAAAATTAGCTATTTGTCGTGTATGTTTTGCATGATGATATGATGAATGGATGGTTAATTTTTAACAGCAGATTCAGTGCCGTTAGATCTGCGCCTCACTGCACACGTCTGCGGCGTATTACGGCTCCACGGGCACTGGATCGTGGCCGCTCTAGTCAATGCTTGTGTTTATACCGGCCTGCTGCAGCACGTTTCTGAAGCGGATTTCTGCGCTGCTTGGCTAAAAATAGTATTTTGTGAGTTGGCACAGCGTGGAGGACGGAACAAAACCTTGTCGGACACGTAAGGGGTAACAGTAACATAATAGCTACGCTGATCGTGGGCTGCTTTTAAATGAACATTTATTTATAAAACAAAATGTCTTCTTTAGCCATATTAGCCTACTCTATAGCATTAACACAGGCTTTACTCCTTTCAAACTTTATCTGAAATGTCACCGTAAGGGGTAACAGTAACATAATAGCTACGCTGATCGTGGGCTGCTTTTAAATGAACATTTATTTATAAAACAAAATGTCTTCTTTAGCCATATTAGCCTACTCTATAGCATTAACACAGGCTTTACTCCTTTCAAACTAATGTCACAATGTCACCGTTACTGTCACTGCAACTTTCCGATCAGGTACACACACACACACACACACACACACACACACACACACACACGCACATGCACACACACACAAATGAAATTGTCTGCCTGATGAAAAAAATTTATTTTAAAAAAATGTAGTTAATATTTGCATCATTTATGATTTATTTTATCCACCCGCAAATAATCAGAATGCATTTTTTTATTACCCAACCCGTGGGCTATCTGCAGCGACTGTGGATATAACCGTGATCAAACTACTCCCTTTTTGTTCTTTCAGTAGTTTAAATGTTTCTATTTCTTTTTATATTAGTCTTATATTGGACTGTATTAAACCTTATGAGTTACATCAGACTTCATGTTGGAGTTTAAATGTTTCTATTTATTTTGTCCAATGTAAAATTAAACCTGATGAGTTGCATCAAACTACTCCAATTAGTTCATTTAGGAGTTTAAATGTTTTTTTTATTATTCATTTTGTCCTGCTCAGACTCGTATTGGACAATGTTTAAGGTACATCAGACTTCTCAATTTTAGGAGATTAAATGTTTATTGTGTCCTCCACAGTTTACTATTGGATAATGTTTAAATAAACCTTGTGGGTTGGATCAGTCTGCTCCATTTTGTTTGTATTTATTTTTGTCTTAAGTATCTTGATATACATAATATTATGCATAAACCCCATTTTAAAGGCATATTAAAATGTTCACTGTGTAAGGAATAATTTTTGTGATCATTTATATAACATTATTACATATGTTGTATAAAGCTTGCCTTGAAGCATCAGAATCGGCATCGGTATCGGCCGATCACCATGATAAGAAATCGGTACTCGGTATCGGCTGCAAAAATCCTGATCGGAGCATCCCTATTGGTTGCTCTTTGAAATGTCAGCGGCAAGTGGGGTTGTTGAATTTGTTAAATCAAATTAAAATTAGTGTGTCAGATTGGTCGAGACGCTACAAAATCATCTGAACTTTGAGTGGCACACTAAAACACTTGACCGGAAGTTCTGTAGCTGATGCTTTGCTCCCAAGCGTTGGGAGTTCAATGACATGAGAATCTTAAAAGGGCTTAATTCAGTCATCAGTGAGTGCATCATGTGACCCAGAAATCTCTCAATTCACACCTACACCTGCTGTACTACACTGGACACACACACACACACACACACACACACACACACACACACACACACACACACACACATACTAGCTGAAGGAATGGAGAATCCAGCCCTCCGTATTGCTGTGAGCAGGTTTTTGGATGATAATGGTGTAAAGATGGGGAGATTAGGGCTTCCCTGGTAGTGTAGAGCAGTTACAGCCGAGCTTGTGTTTGATGTCATGTCTAGGGGATGATGGGATTGATTTCTGAACTGGTCCGAGTCCTTAAGGGCTTCAGACCGATCAACTCTCCTTGAGCTGTTCCTCCACCTTAAATACCTGATCATCATCCAGTGCTTTGGCAAGGCATTTTAGCATTGTTGTGGGCTGATTTCATGATGGAGAAAAACATGTAAACAGTTTGTACTCAAAGAACATATGAACATATGATTATTAAAAATATGTAATAATACTTTTACAGTTTTTGTTACTCAGGTGTTGCATAACTGCAGCTTTCTTTCAGATCTATTCATTTGTGATGAATAACCATGTCTTTTGGTTTGTGGCGAAGTTTCAGATATAAATAAAAATTTAAATCCATTTGTTACAGTGTTATGAAATGTACATTTTATTATAAAATTATTCATAGCATTGTTTTTTTATGTTTGCTCTAATGTTAAAATCGGGTGGTTTCAGTTTTGTGGTTCCCTTTATCTGTGTTCTCATTTTGTGGCATGTCTCGATGACCTCACAGCATTTTCACAATTCTCTTTTCTCAGATCTCTTTCTGTATCATTGAAAATCAAAACTTATAGACGCACTCCACACAATCTGTGAAGCTGAGAACTTCTGTTGGAGGGAGAGAAAGACACGTGATGCCACATCTCTGCCTCATCACCAATAGGTAAGAAACATTCGGGTGGTGGGTAAAAGACATGTTAGACCTTGATGAAGAGGAACACAATTTTTATATGGCTGTTTTGTACTTTTGGTATAATGCATGTATTTTGTTGGAAAGCTTAAATTAGCCTCAGGGACACTTATACTACAAACTATGCGGCGCATAAGTGAAGTGATTCAAATGGGGAAATGGAGTGGTTTAGGGAAGAGCAGGAAGAGAAAATTAAAATGGACCTCTTTAATGGGCAGAGAAGGACACTGGGAGATTTTGCAGAGATGTGAAGTGGAGGCAAAAAGAAAAGGAGACGAGCAGAAATTAAAAGGTGAAGGTTTGGTGTTGAAGGATGCTGATTTGAGCATCTTGATGACAAATGGGGTAATGAAAGTGCCATTTTTACAGCTAATAATGGACCGCCGGTTGCTGAAAGGCTGCTGCGTGGAAGTAGAGGAGGGAAAAGTCTGAAGGAAAGGAATAACACGTGAGAACTTTTGTTCAGGAAATAATGTGTTTTACACCACGTACCAGCATCCAAGAGGTGAAGGACTCACACCGAGAGCACAAACAGACTCGTCTGCTAAGTTAAAACGCACCGCCACACACCTTGCTCTCAGGTGCGTGTAGTACGGATGACCCTGTGGTGATCACAGGCTTGAGTGCATTACTACCGACAGGATAATTAGCCGCTCATGACCTCGTGTCTGTTTTTATCCCCGTCTCTGTTCTCTACATCTTTTTCAGCATTAGCCTATGGCTCTTTTATCTCTTATGAGCAGCACACTGTCTCTGTCTTTGTCCCTCTCTCTGTAAGTGATGACCAATCTGGTTTGTCGTACATGTTGGAATTGGTCGTATCAAGATAATCCAGGTTATAAGAATCTTTTTTTTTGCTAATCTGTGTTTTAGCAAACACATACATGTAGGAATGTTAGTCTGATGCACAGTGATGTAATGGCGCTTTTCCACTGCATGGTACAGCACGGTACGGCTTGGTACGGCTTGGTACGGTTCACCTTTGGGGGGTTTTCCACTGGGTACAGTACCTGGTACTTTTTTTAGTACCACCTCGGTTGGGGTTCCAAGTGAACCGTATCGTTACCAAAACGTGACGTGTAAACTCTGCTGATCACGGATTGGCCGGAGAGAATCGTCACTACCTGTGTCACTGAACTTGTGACACAAACACAACAGAACCGCTAGATTTAAATCAGCACAGCCAGCGAAGGATCTAACGCAACTGTTTTGAACGAGCACACCTTTTTTTAACAACCAAAAAGTTTTGTTGTCTGTTGTGGAAGAACAAACGTTCCTCTAGTTGATGGCAGAGGAGCGGATCCAGTGATAGCTTGATAGGGCGACGCGGACTGAAAACGTTTTTTTTAGGAGTCGTGGTAGTAGAGGCGGCGCAACTATAACGACATGTGAATAATCCTGCCCACTCTAAAGCGGTACTGAACTGCAGTGGAAACGCAAACCGTGCCGTACTGAGCCGTGCTGAGCCGAGTCGTACCACGCAGTGGAAAAGCGCCATAAGTGACATGAATGATTCAAATCAAAGATGTGAAAACAGTCTACTTGGTTATTTGTCCACATTTAGTGTTTTCATATTCAGAGTTTTACACTAATATTATAGAACTAAAACCAACTCAGCAAGCAAATGTTTGTTTAGATTAATTATTATTTAGGGATGTAACGATTCACTCAACTTACGATGCGATATGATTCACGATACTGATTTCACTATACAGTTTTCTCACAATTTTTCTTTTTTTTTTTTTTTAACAATGAGATTTAAGACAAATTATAAATGAAAAGATGTCCGTTTATTATTGCTTGGATGAAATGCTGAACATTTATTTGTGAAATTGGAACGTGAAAATTTAAAGGGGTCCTATTATGCTTTTTCACTTTTTGAATTTTATTTGGTGTGTAGTGTGTATGTTTGGGCATAAAAGATCTTCAAACTTACAAATCTCAAAGTCCACTCCAAAGGGAGATATTTCGTAAAAAAAAAAAATCACTTTTCAAGAACTACAACGAACAGCTCGTTTGGACTACAGCGTTTGTTTTCCGGGTTTTGTGATATCACAAAGCGGTCCATTAGAATATCATTAAAATAATTTGCCTACGGAAATTCGAATGGTTGGGGGGTGGGGAGGGGCGAGGTCGTGGTCAGAACACTTGGTTGGGGGGTGGGGAGGGGCGAGGTCGTGGTCAGAACGGCTGCTTTATGTACAGCCGTTACCGGGGAAACCTTGATCTCTACCACTCCAACAGCGCCTCCTGCTGGCAGAAAATGAGATTGCATAAGTATGTCGCCTGGGAAACACTGGACTATGGTATAAATAAATTCAACTGTATAACAGTTTCACTGCAATTCATGTTATAATGTTAGAATTAAATAACAATAAAAATATTACATATGCACTTATCTGTACATAGTAAATGCAGTTATTTTTAAGCGGTTGTTGACATCCTATCTAAAACGTGATTTAGCCAAAAAAAATAACAATAACGTTACCACTCTAATATGTCTTGCAATATCTGTGCGTGCAAAGGTTCTGCACGATCCTCTTGTTCAATATTCTCTGGGTCTGAATCCGGCTCAAATTGATATGGCAATATTGATGCCATCCTTAACTAAACCGGAGCAGACGGAACTTGCTGCTTTGGCAAGGGGCAGGGCAGTACTGAAACACCGTCTAAGTTGTTCGCCAATCACAAAGCACTGAGATAGCTAACCAATCACATCACATTTCGTTTTTCGGAAGGCGGGCCTTCATCAAACCCGGAACTAATCGAGCCGTTTGTGCCAGGATGGGGAGAAAGGTATTGTAATAATGTAAATTATGTAAAGAAGAATGCGTTTTTTTCGAACCACCAAGCATGAGAGCATGTTCTAGTACACCCCCAAAACAAATTCAAGACATTGTAAAAGAGTATAATAGGACCCCTTTAAAACAAACCCCAAATCAAATAAATAAATAACACAAATAAAAGAAATCTCTTCATATAAAGAAACTAATAGGCTTTGTCTGTGCTCTTTCCATTCAGTTAGTGGCAACCACTAGATTTGAATCATGAGCCAAACAAAGATGCTGCATACATGCTGCATGAGCAGTTTTTAATCTAAATGAGATTGTATAATAGATTTATAACAGCTAAGGGGGTGAAATTTACTAATTTCACTGTAAACCACGGCTTCACGGGGCTTATTGCGTTTATAAAACGGTTATTATATATACTTAGTAAGGTTTCACAAAATAAAACCGAGCGAATAAAGTGTAATGATATTAATAAAAACAGTATTCTTCCACCAGACAATAGCTGCGTCCCAAATGATGCACTATGCACTCATACACTATGTACTTATTCACTATGTACTCAACCATATATAGTATGAATTATATACGGTTATTTTGTCATTCATAATCGGACTCTCATAGCCCCTCCCCCTTCGGTACGTAATTAAAGCTGCGACAATTTAGCGCATGAAGTGTCCAACGTTCCACACTTCATTTTTTCGGGTTATTTAAGTGCGTCATCTAGGTATTTAAAGTGCACTTTTTCTTTTTGGAATTTTCAGTGTTGCAGGTTGCATTTATTCGATCAAAAAATACCATAAACCAATGACAATTTCCTGCTGATCTGCTTAAGACACTTTAGTATGGGGAATTTTTTTGATTCATGTTTTAGTGATTACATCATAAAAATGCTTTCATGCAGTGTGACAGTGCTTTGCAGACGTCGTCCCAGACGTAGTGTGGAAATCCCGGAGTGTGAAGAGTCAGTTTGCAGTTACAGAAAGCCTCTGTTGGGGATCCGTTTGCACATTACAGCACTCAGCCGAATTTAAACAGTGACTTCCTCCCTATTATTCAAGAGGTGTAAACACATGCAGTGTAAAATCCTTCCTGTTTCAGATGTTGCAAGTCTCACGCTTCGTCTCTTACAGCGCTTCACATCCTGATTTTTAAAAAATAAATGACCATTCACAGCTTATTTAATTTTTTGAATTTTATTCCCTTTCATGTTCTGGTGTGTGTACATGGACACTAGATGTAGAATATTCAGTGGTGTGTGTTTACATCAGGTAATTGGGTGGCAGAGTGTCGCTAGGGCTCAGTTTAAAGTCGCATGCAGATTTCACTGCTGTACAATCCTACACATGCTGTCATGCCAACTCATACATTTACTCGGTAGGGGTGAAACAAAAAATAAGAACCATATGGTTAGCCACCCACAGTTCGCATGCATGTTTGAACCGTGGTTCATCCCGTGTTTAATGACGCTTCTGAAAATATAATTACAGTTCATTTGTTGTTTGTCAATTTTTAAAGGCAATTACGATACTTGGAGAGGGAAAGAAACTGCAAACCCATGTAAAATTAACTTTACATACAAACATATATGAGTATGTCTATGCATACATCAGTCAGAGCCACACAATAGCACTAGTATGTGACAAACCTGTTTGAAGAGCTCACCAAATGTGTTTGCAGTAACAATTTGTTCAGCAGTTACAGCTTTGATACATTTGTTTTTGCTAGATTATTATTGATTTGCATTACTTAACCTGAACAAAACCTTTAAGATGGTAAACAAAATATATGCTAATGATTCAAGCATAGTTTTTGAGCTTGTATTGGATGCTTATCTTTAGTTAAAAATTCTATGAAAAATTATTTCTGTGAAATTGAAAACTATTTCAATTATTCTATGAAAAATTATCGTTTATGAAGACATCTACAGTGGGGCAAATAAGTATTTGATACACTGCCGATTTTTCAAGTTTTCCCACTTACAAAGAATGGAGAGATCTGTAATTTTCATCGTAGGTACACCTCAACTGTGAGAGACCGAATCAAAAAAAAAATCCAGAAAATAACATTGTATGATTTTTTAATAATTAATTTCCATTTTATTGCATGAAATAAGTATTTGATACAATAGAAAAATAGAACTTAATATTTGGTACAGAAACCTTTTTTTTTTTTTTGATTCGG